TGCATTTCTGTGGTGATTGCATAAAATTTTTCTAAGGGCACTTTTCAAGATAAATTTTTAATTTGGGAAAATGCCCATTTCAGTATTTTCTCAGCTGTGCATGTGACTTACTTGGCAAATAATGTGGTAAGTGTTCAGAATAGACATACTTCTAAAAGCCCTACAGCCCATATGCAAACTTAAGTAACATATACAGTGTATATATATTCATGATGACACATAACGATGAGAATCTGTCCCTAAATACTAAACCACTTGTATATATATTTGCCATGTTCATTGCTCCATATGGTTTTGGAGCACACTTCTATAACACAAAACCCATGATATTATCACGTGGTAATAAGACAAGAAAGTTCCTACAGAATTCAATTATTGTGCTGTTTATTTAAAGAATGAGTGAATCTGAAACTTGTTGGCTACTAATGTAAAATAAAATTTTACAGAGTTTCTCTTAATGGATGCTAAATTTTCAAAGTTTACAAATAAAATCCAAATGTTAGCAGAATTTATGGCCAAATTTTGTCTCTCTCTCTGAAGAGAGAAGTCTCTCTGTGGACTAGTGATGTTATTTTGTTAGACATCAGAACTGAGTATTTAAATTCAAGTATATAATCTTGTTAGATATAATGGGTAAATATTTCTAAAATAATCACATTGGTACACAAAAATATGAAACCATTTATGGAAAGAACAGGGATGTGGTGATATGCTTTATTCCAGTCAGTTAGTATTCTGAACAGAAATAATGCCATTTTAATTATTATTTAATGTCCTGGATCACATTCTTATACCTTATCTCAACTATATCACTTCTGCTTTGAAGAACCACATATTTACTCTTTTTTTTGAGCTAGGGGAAGGAGTCGGGGTCACGAGGGTTGGAAGAGGTTGTCACAGAAAACATTCAAGAGCTAAATAAAATTTAAAAAAGGAACAGAATCAAGTCCTCACAGCACATTTAGTAGGGCACTGAACAAAAGGCTTACTGGCCTTATGATACAAGGTGGCCAATACAAATTACTTCAGTTCCTTGTCATTTACTCATTAAAAAAGGCTATTTTAAAACTTACCTTTCTTTAAAAAATCTTTGAAGTCTGTCTATAGAAAAGCACTGCAAAAAAAGAGAACTATGATTATTTCCTACTACAACTACTGTTTAACAAGCTTTTAATTTGCAACACTTTTTGAGGTCTTCTCTGCTTGTTGGCATTAACCAAGTCTACTGCCCAGGTGATTGTTTTCAACTGAATGAAAGTAAAGTTTCATCAAATTTCTTCAGATAGGAGTCATGACAGTTCAGATGCCAGAAAAAGGACAATGGCTAACAGATCTGCATGCACGACTTGGACAGAAGTAATAAATGGCTGAGAAACTTCTAATACATTTGCAGTTTGTACAGATGACTTGTTATAACGTCTTATTATGCGGTATGGTGGCCCTGACTAACAGCCAGCGGCCTTAAATTACGTTGAAATTGATTCCTACCTGCAGCTTTCAGCAGTAAATGATGTCAAAAGAGTACGGGCTTAAAATAAAAATTAATAGAAATATATAAAAGCAAATAAACTCTGGTATGTCCTTGTTAATCTGAGTTAATAATGTGCATCAGCACTGTAGCCCTATGCCAATTATTGCCAGCTATCAGCTACATTGCCTTTTTTAATTAGTATGGACATAACATTGTGTACAGAATTCTCCCCTTCAATCCACACACATTACCTAAAAATATTAAATTACAGTACATAATTGGTTAAACATTACTCTTTAAAATTTCTTGAATCTTGTAGTCGATCTTAAATACTGCATGTACTCTATTAAATACAAGCTCACCCAAGAGACATGAACTGACTGAAGCCAGGAAATTCTAAATGAAAGCTCAAGCTGACATTTTGTCCCTAACTTATATAACTATGTTTCCTCATAGCTACTAAGAGTTCATGTCCTAATGGTGTTTCTTTCTTTATTTGTACAAGTAATATTATTGCAATAGTCAGAGCCTTCATTTAAGAAAGCAGGACACATAAACTACCTTGAAACTTGGCCTGTGGTGGAAAGACATAGGTATAAGGTCTCTCCTTCTTGTGCTTTTTTTGTCTATTTTTGGATCTGATGAAAAGAAAGTCAAAGAAGATAAGCATTTAATTAAATTCTCAAACTACTTCCAATTTATGATTTAATAAATTGAGCCAGCTTGCAATGGCGTTATTTTAACCACACCTCTTGAACTGCTATTGTCAAGATAAATCTGAAAACAATGAAGCCATAGTAAACAAAAACACAAAACAAAAACTTAACAATCATAAGGGAAAAGAAAGAACCACTGCAAATAATATATAGCCTTGTACCCCAGAGACAGCAGAAAAAATAATTATCATCTGTCATGTTGAAAATTGTAAAACGTCAGTTGAAAAACTGTTAAACATCACTGCCCTTTTACACTCAATTATATTTTCTCTGTATGTTTCCTAAGAGTACATATTTCTCTGTGTGGCTCAGCAATACGCTAACAACAAAACATCAGAGAGGTAGATTCTGGACAGATAAGATATTAAAATTACCTTAACCCCAAAAATACATCCTTAGTCCTCAGAAGCAGGATTAGCTGTCAAGAAGTCATGAAAAGTGACTAGCCACTATTTAATAACAGGAACTAAGAAAGATAAATAAACCAAAGCAGGTTTCATCATTTCACTCCACCACCAAGTGCTTGCACAACTTTGGGCAAATCACAATCTTAAAGCTTGATTTTGTCCATCTGTTAAATGGTATAGTCTTAACTATACCATATAGCTAGATTGGTAGAAGAGCCCTCTGTTAAGTCTGCAGGGAGATATAAGCCAATGGAGATAAAACAAAACTTCAAGTTACAGTTCAAAAGCCTTTGTCCATAGCTCTTTCCAACAACAAAATTATGCTAAAGCTTTGATACAAAATCATAATATGTTACAGCAGATGATTGATCCTAGGGGCTTCCATAAGACCGTTTTTGAGTAACTGGGGTACTCAGAACAAGATGAGACATTGTCTGCGTTAATGAGACCCACTAACCCACAAAGTGGAGTTAAAGCACAGGGTGGTCATTGCTGCTATGTGTGGCTTGAGTATGAGCTAGCTGAAATCTGAAAGAAGCATGTCTGTATTTCTGTGGGGCTGTGCTTGTAAATAATTCCTTCAAGACCGTGGTAGGAAGCTCACTGTGCTTAGACTGCAGAGCTTCAAGTTCTACCAGTGTAGAACCTCTGCACCATACTGCACCTACCAATGGTGCACCCACAAAAGAGTTGTTTAAAACCACGAGAGGTCTTTAAGTAATCTAAGAGGTTACTACATACAGTTAACACCTTACAGACAAATTCAAAGTCTGAGCTGCTTTTAAAGCATGGATGATGATCAATTTTGTTAGTATTTTCTTTTTTTTTTTTTTTCTGTAATATAAAGTTACATAATTTGGTCCTTTGTTTGAAGATTCATTCAATTATCTAAACAAAAATTTTCCTCTTCAACCTGTGCTTTAAGTCTCAACAGATTCAGTAAAATCTAGAAAAATGGAAAAATACTGTCTTTCTCAATTGGAAAAAATTCTTCCGGCTAATGAGATTATTATGGCTCACAGATTGCCATCATCATATATATTGACGGCTCCCCTACTGCAATTATCCCAGTCAAATCACAGTGCCACTAACAGAATAATGCACTTTTCAAAATGCCTTGGGCTAGGAACACATTGCTGGTGAATTTCAGGTAATGTAAATAAAGCACTTCCATTTGTTTTGTAAAATGTCAGCTCAAACTTGGACAATCCCTTTTCAGACTCAGTCTTAAACTTTTTATGGAAGACAACAACAAACAATTCTGAGAAGCTGACAATGCATTTTTGACAGAGTATTTCAAACACAATAATCTCTCCCCTCTTTACTAGCAAAAGAAGTCACGTATTTGACTAAATCTGTTGTTAAGAATTGTTATTGGAAAAGTCAATGTTTTTCACCTTTTCATCCTAATTTTTCATTTTGAAATTTAGCTATATTTTGTTTAAGAGAGAGGAAAAAAAAGGTCAAGAATAAAAAGCTTTAGTCTGAATCACTGGGTTTTTTTTCCCGTTTTGATAATTGCCACCATCACCCAAAAAAACTTTCCCATCCAGCCATGAAATAAAAATATGAAGTATTCACAAGTAGTTGGCTTACTTCTCTATCCTACTCCCATTCTCAGCAATTTTGTATGACAAAGGCATATGAAAAAGAACTGAGAAGCAAACGCAAAACCCCTTAACTGCTGGAATCAATAAAATGTTCTGAAGTCTTTAAAGAAATTCATTACCCATTCCTTGGATATTTTAAACTAAAATGATCGTGACAACAATTAATGTGCAAGAAAGATCAAACCTACAGTGGAAAGGATTTGGAAAACAGACACAGAGTTCTTGATTGTATTTAACTTTTATGATGCCCTAGTGCTGCACATAGCAGAGCTTCAGTGAATGCTCACAAGCATTTACTTGGATATGCACATTTCTTGCTTACTCTTTCTTTCACTCAACTCCTATCACACTACCCAGTCCAATTCATCTCCAAAATTTTTGAGATATTTTGTTTTTTTTTTCCTGAAAACCTTTATTGAACAAAGGCATGATAATGTAAGTATGCATCTCTTCCTGCTATTTATTCCCTTTCATCCATTTCAACAAGGTCCCACAAAATAACCCTTTATATTTGCTCTAAATCTGGAAAAATGGTTGAACAGACTCTTGTTGGTTTTGGCTGAAAACATCATTAGCTGCTAGATGCCTTTTTCCTGCTAAAGGAAAGAGTTTTGCAAATGGATCAATGTAGAAGGTTTATCCAAGATTAAAAGCCTGAATTTGAAAACATAGCTTTCTGTTGTCTACAGACAGACTGTTCCGAAAGATCTGAAAAATGCAGAGCTGCTTAGGACTTTTACAAAAAAACCACTTTAAGTATCCTATGAAATCACTGAAGAGAGACCAGAATTATTTAAAAAGGATTATTTATTAAACATATTTCTTTACAAAGTACAATCAATGGTTTGCATTAAATTTTGGGTTTTGGTATTTGCCTGTATGTACACAAAAGCTTAATACAGAAAATATGTCTTGATTTTACACATGGGACACAATACTGAGTTACCTTCATATTTTGTTTTCTACCAACATAAGCAGTCGATAACAACTTTCAGCTTATCTGCCGGGGCTTTTTTAAACTGAAGATGAAGCAACAGCATTTCTGCAGAGTGTCAGTATTTATCAATGTACTCAATTATGACAAAGTAGAAATGAATAATCCTTTGGGAAGCTTCCACTGAGCTTGAGTGGAACATGACATTTTTTGGCAGGTTACTGGACTATCCTTATGATCCTAAAAATCATTTTTTGCAGTTATAAGATAAGAAGAATTGAGGAGCTAGGTAAGTTTAATAATACCCTATTAGCAGCAGTTGATAGTAAATGCAACATAAGGTTTGTTTTGTCTGTCATACAAGGACGTGTCCTAGCAGACACTACTGTATTGTTCTCTATTTGAACAAAAGTATCTGCATGTATTGTATGTCTTTGGAAAAACAAAACAAAAATAAAGAGACAAAAAGCCATTTATTGTCATGAGTGACTATTGCCATCAGCTAATATGAATGCATTGCTAAAATTAGTGAAGACAGGAAAATGCTGTAAGGTAAATATATACAGAGTTAAAATACATTTCTTATCCACTAGATAGTGATTTTGTGGCACTGTGGTTTTCAGAATATAACGTCTGTTGAGAGCAATGTAAATTTCAGTGCAAGCTAAAGCAAAAATACCTGCCCGCTGTCATAAACATGACAAACAAATCTGGAATGTTCAAAGTAAGTTCGTCTTCCACTTCTCCACTCTTGAGGCACCTTTAAGACATGGCACTTACTGTAAACCATCTAAAAATCAAGAAAAGCAGACACAATAAGCCTGAATTTTCCATAACAACTTTAAAAATCACTGCCAAAGTCACTTGCATACGTAAACGATGCCTGTGTAAGGCTTGCCAGCAAAGCATCTTTCCTGAGAACGGAGCTGGGACACTCTCTGTTTATCATAAGTGTGCGTGCTCAGAGCTGTGATCGCTGTCGTGGCTGTCGTCGTTCGCTAGTGAGTCCCCTGTGTGCTGGAGACCAGCTGCGCCGATGCCAGAGAGCTCGGAGGGGAGCAGCGTGCCCTTTTTCACATTCACCAGTTCCTTCTCCCGGGCTGCTGCCCCTTGCTGACCCCCTTTTACCCGCTTCCACTTCATTCGTCTGTTCTGGAACCAAACTTTTACCTTCATGGAAGAAAGACAAAACAAGAAAATAAAGATCGTGTCATTGAAGATCGTAATGATCTTTCTAGCTGTGGCACAGCACTTGTTGTTTTTGTTTTTTTTTTTTCTTTTTTAATGTGCTTTTCTTTCTGTATGGTAAAAAGCTTAGCAAGCTTTCCCTGAAGAGCAGGCAATCCAGTTTGGACGTGAACCCTGGGCGTGTGAGGGTAACAACTGCAAAGGAGGGAAGGGGGTTACCGCAAGAAGGCAGCTGGGCTGTGTGCAGCAGATAGCTCCACAGGAAGATCCGAGAGCCCTTTAGAAAAGATTTAAAAGTTCATCTACTCTTGAAACACGTATTAATATCATTTCACAGGCAGAGAAGCAGAGTCAACATGGTTCCCATCAAGGGACTGCGTGGAAGAACCTACATTTCATCTAATAGCTCCGTCTGGTGGCAGGGACTGCCACCCCTTGTGCTTATAATGCTTTTAATTATCCTTCAAAGAAGGGTAGTTACTTTGGAAAGGATCTCGCACTGAAAAGTTTGCATTGCTTTCTGCCTGTTTGTTTCTGTAAAGTGGTGGTGAGTTTCAGATGGAACACTTCAAAAGCTTTTTTTTTTTTTTTCTTTTACTTGCTACAGTATCTGAAAGAGTATTTCTTACCATCAAAACTTACAACTTTCTTGTCTATTTCACAAATGTATTTAAATGATTCTAGTTGACAGAGCCTTGATTCTACTACATTTAGCCATAGACCTCAGTCAAATTTTTCAGACAAAAAAATACCCCCCAAACCAGAGGGCAAGGCATTTATAAATTTGAGTCAAAATCAGCAAATAATTTCAGATGAGAATGGAAAAGAAATTTGTGTCATGAAAGATTAAAAATGTATCTGTATTTAAGTCACATTAGACCTCAAGATTTTACTCCAGCTGAAACTCATTTTCCCTCCTCCCCTTCTCTGTATAGAAATATATGGGGGGAAGTAAACCTAAATTATTGGCACAGTTCTAAAGTACTAGCACTGCAAACCACAAGGATTTTTTTTTTCAATAGCCAAAAGAAAAGGAAAAAAAAAAAAAAAAGATTAGACCAGATTAAAGGCTGATTTCAGATCAATTTAAAATATTGTCACTGAAAACAGTATAAATAGAAGATTGTTGGGTTTGATCCGTTTAGAGTTAATGTTTCTAAAAGATCTCGTGCATGTGTGTCTGTACAGCTCTTCACATGAAGGTTCTACAGAAAAATAAACAAATGTCTGCAACTTTTGACTTGGAAAGAAAGCAAGAAGGCTTGCAATGCTGGTGTATCCTCTGCTGTGTTCAGCAGAATATGTTTCAGAGCTTTAAAAGAAACAGCAAGGAACAGGCACAGCAGGACATATTGTACAACATGAGTAATAGAGCCACAAAAATGCTGTTTTGCTGAATCTGTCTTACACATCCAGGAAACATCGCAGTGTTTAACCTTTACTATCACTTTGAATTTTACATTAAAATTTTACTACAATTGAACTGATAGTTAATGTCACTAACTGTATGCACGTATGTGGGAAGGAAGAGAGGTATATTTATTTTTCTATACTCTATATTCCTATAAAAGCCAATGTGAGCTGTTAAAGCCAATCACTTGGGAACAGAGCAAAATGATTCCAGGTTAGTTAAAAGCCTCAAAGCACAACACATCCTTTCCTTTAGTCAACTCATCAGAGCCAAAGAATCTGGCTTGTAAAGTGAAATGAGTGTAAAGGGGAAGGTATTTATTACTGGCTGCTGTGATGTTGGGAACTATCATACTTGGGTCATGTATCAGAGGTGCCCATGGAAACAGTGTCTTCAAAAGGGTACAGCATTAGTACAGCATTAGCAGCTTTCTGGGGGGAGTTGCTGTTTTGTTTATTTTTGGGGTTTAGGACAATTAAGTTTCTCCTGCAAAAGACACAACTCTACTGGTGCCAGACAGTGCAGTAGATGCAACTGCAGTTGTAATCTAAACATCAAAAATAACACACTTTGGATTCAGCCCAGTACCACATCACTCTTCTGAAATAAGGGCTGAGAGAATTTTATTCAGTAAGAAGAAATGACAGGCTTGAAGTGATGTTTAAAAGATCTAAGCAATTCTCCAGATATTTTTATGTCCTTGAACATTCACAGAATAAGTCACAGCATTGAAAGCCTAAAAAAAAGAAAGGCATACAAAAAGTGTGTTCAAGAAAAATGACAGTGATGTATTTGAAGCAGCAATTTCAATACACAGACTGTATTCAGCTTACTATTGGAACAGGAGAAATCCACCTTCCAGATGCATCCATTTCACTTCTGGATACTTGAGAAACTGAAGCTAATACTTCTACAGTCATTGTCAGAAACTGTTCTGGCTGGGGCAGATGTGAGCAGGATGATTACTGCCTGGCTCCTGATGCAGGTGCTCATTTCTGTTCTCTCACAGACAGAGCTAAACTCCCACATCTGCTGGCCTGACAATTTTTGACTATTTTCTACTGCAGTTTAATAAATTATTATTTGTTGGTTTTCATTTTTTATTACAATATTTTGTTGCTGCTGCATTTTAGAATTCAGGTCATGCCACAAAATGGGCCAAAAGGGGTCTCTCTCCTTGAGCATTAAACTCAGGAGAACTGATCAGCATCAACTTCCAGGTAACAAGTAGCCAAGGACAGGATGGGGAATACCTCTTTGTTCAGATCACCTACCCTCAGATTAGTTCATCCAACCATGCCCTGAAATGCCTCCACCAAGGATGAGCATAGGTCAGAGTCCTACACTCATATATTATTGATAGAAATCAGTTAAAGGATGATGATTTCCCTTTTCAAGAACAAGTGCAAGAAACATGTAAAAATTCCTCAGAGGATGCAGCATGCAATGCTATGTCTGCACATGACCCACTGTCTGGGAAACACATCATTTAAGAAAAGTAGGGCTGAAAGGACTCCAGCTGCCTTTGCAGCTCTTGAGTGTAGGAGGAAGAGAGTAACCCTGACACTCCCACAGGAGAATATATACTACTGACTGGCATATAGCCTGTCAGGCTTCCCATACAGAGAAAATGGTAACAATTTTTAAAAGACAGATAAAAGGAAATGGAAAGCTTTAGGCTTTTTTTATTAATGACTTCAAATAATCTGCATCTGATTTACTTAGAGAATATCAAATAAGAAAGTTCTTTATTTGGTATGTCAAAGATATTATAGTGAAGTTTATCACTGAAAATATTGTGAGCTTATTTTGATGTCATTTGCTCTGTTAATGTACAGCAGGACTCTTATATGTGGGAATATGTTAGGTATTTTTTTATATATATTGCTTTATGTCCTCCATAATAAAGTACTGAAATCCACTTTTGACCTGATCCAAAGTGCACTAATCTCAATGTGAGTTTTTCCAAAGAGTTCAATGGACTCTAGATGAAGACTTTAATGCTCATGTGCTAATAATATGAGACAGGTCCTTCACTTGTTATTTCCTCTAGAGATCAAATTCAGATATTGGAATTCTGAACTTCCTTTGAAGCTGAAGACTCAATTATGGAGAGTATAGTTGTTACTGATATGTGATCCACCTATATTTTAGTAATGGGAAGGAAGTGAAGCGAACTTTGTGTGAAGTACTTCAGAGTGTCAATTTATATAATTCTTGGAAAACTGTGCTTTTAAAATGCACAACTCATTTGAAACTTACAAGTGTTGCACAAAACATGCATCAGAACAAAACACCCTGAGAAACAAATAGGAAAAGGGAGAAAGAAAGAGGAGAGAGAGATAAAGAGATAAAGAGCAAGAGTGAGAGAAAGGAGAGAATGACCGAAAGATAAAAAATCCCATTAAACTAGAAAATAGAGAGAAAAAGCCCTTATTGAAATGAACTTGCAAAACTCTCGAACTCTTCCAGTGAAAGAACTAGCTCGTGACATTTATGTTTGCAACAATATCCTCTTAAAGTAGTTTAAAGATCTACTACGACAAACCTGATATTATATGTTTTATGAGCCTTTTTATGCTGTTTTTCAAATCTAAGTTAGCTTCAGTAGGAGCTGAGAGCGCTCACCACCTCCCAGAATCAGCTCCTGATTGTCTATTATTTATTAAAATGCACTCCCTCTTCTCCACCCTCTGACTAGCACAACTTAACTGTATAGAGCGAGCATGTGTATGTACGGAAAACAAAGGCAGTGGAAGGAAATGAACTACATTAAAGATGATGGTTGCATTAACAGCTGTTTCTAAATCAGCACTTATGAGCCAGTCTATTGAGCACATCTGCTTACTGGCACGAAAGCACAGTTTCTTTTCCCTTAGTCAACAAGTTGTTTAGCATCTGCATCTCCACATCTGATGATTAGACTGTTACTTAAGATATGAGTAAATGATTTCACATTGTGCATCTCCTGATGTACAAGATAAATGGTTTTGCTGTGACCAATTTATTTTAAGGTCCACTGCGTAGGAATCACGGGAGGAGATTCAAAACAAGGAGGTCAACACTGTTAGTGCCTACATATTCTAAAGTAATCATTATATACTTATGATATATAGGTCCTTAGAAGGCTCAAGGGCCACATTATGCGCTGTCTCGCATGTATATCTTTAATACAAGTTTATGATGTGGACATCAACACATCATTTTGGTTCCAAATGAGCATAGCACCTAAACTACTAATTTAATACTACTTCATCAAAGCACTTAAGTCACATTAAGAATAACTGACTTCTACCATGCTCTGTAGAATGCAGATGCTTCCTTTTGACATGGTATTTTAGCATTCTGTACTTACAGAGAGGAGCTAAACAGATACCTTCTATGATTAATGAGTAATTCTTAATAAAGACATTCTTATCTGAAAAAAAAGAGTGACTAAATTCAAACTATCTTAGTTGCACTGTCTGCTGCCTGTCTTCTTTTAAGAAAAAAGATATTTCTCTTTAAAAAAAGGTCTTTTCTGAAATGAAAGATTCTTTCCTAAAATTAGGTTTTCTGTTCCAGGTTTTAG